AGTTTGAGGACCAGGAACCAGAACCTCCACAGTTTGAGGACCAGGAGGATCCAGAACCTCCACAGTTTGAGGACCAGGCGGAACCAGAACCTCCACAGTTTGAGGACCAGGAGGAACCAGAACCTCCACAATTTGAGGATCAGGAGGAACCAGAACCTCCACAGATCAAAGTAGAGGATGAGGAGTTCAGCACCAATCAGGAGGAAGATCAGCTCCACCTGAAGCAGGAGACTGATCCGGTTCTGATGACTGTTTTATATGAAGAAAGTGAACCAGAACCAGACAAGGAGCAGCTCATCTCTCAGAGTTCTGCTGGACCTGAGGACCAGGATCAGGATTCAAGGTCAGATGAGAAGATGGATCACACAGAGGGTCGTCATGGTAACCAAGTAGGCCAATCAGCAACATCTGAGAGGTTGTTTCCTTGTGTAATCTGTGGAGAAATGTTTTTAGAGAAATCACTGCAGATCCGACATGTGAAGGTCCACAGAGTCTGGAACCCGAACTGCGGTAAACTGATGTATTGTTGTCCCACCTGTGGGAAAAAGTTCGCTGCTTATAGTCACTTAGTCGACCACGAGAGAACCCACACAGGMGAGAAGCCTTTTTCTTGTAAAGTTTGTGGAAAACGTTTTACAAGGCAGTCATGTGTAAGTCGTCACATGCTGAGCCACACAGGAGAGAAACCATTTTCCTGTGAAAGGTGTGGAAAGAGTTTTAAAAGTCAACCAGATGTAAATTCTCACATGCGAATCCACGTAGGAGAGAAACCATTTTCTTGTCAAATTTGTGGGAAAAGGTTTTACCACAAAAAATATGTCAATCATCATATGAAGATCCACATGAGAGAAGCCATTATCTTGTAAAACGTGGAAAATATTTTCACCAAAATGACACTCTTACTCATCACATGAAAGTTCACATGGACTGAGCTGATGTTCTTCTGTCAAAGATGGAGAAAAGTTTCATATTTAGATATAATTTCTATCGCACTGACAGGTCTAAGAAAGGTGATGTCACTCTTTTATGTTAAATCAAATTGTAACACTTCAGTGGTTTGTCTATATCTGCTGCAGCAGTGTCCTGTGCTAGGCTGCTTCAAATCCATTATTCCTGTTCCTAAGAAGCCACAGATCAGTGCCCTCAATGACTACAGGCCTGTGGCTCTGACGTCTGTAGCTATGAAGTCATCTGAGCGCCTGGTTCTCCCTCATCTAAAGACCATCACTGCCCCCCTGCTGGACCCGCTGTAGTTCGCCTACAGAAGAGATAACGCTGTTAAMCTGGCCCTTCACTCCATTTTGCAGCATCTGGACACCCCAGGAACCTACGCGAGGATCCTATTTTTAGCTCTGCATTCAACACAGTCCTGCCAGATCTGCTCCAAACCAACGTACCTGACTCCACCTGCAGGTGGATCACTGACTTCCGGACGGATCAGAGGCAGTACGTGCCGCTGGGAAAAACTGTTTCAGAGACCTGGTCCCTCAGTATCAGCTCCCCTCGGGGTTGTGTACTTTCTCCCCTGATGTCCTGATGCATCTCAGTAATCCAGGTAAAAAATCAAAAAGAAAAAAATTGTATAGGTCTTCTGGACGGGTTC